CTCAAAAGAAGTTATGTGGCTAGCAGAATCAAACTTCGCTTTATATGATTCCAGAGAAGGAATCTTAAACTTTATTGGTACCTTAACTATAGTAATTTCTCTTAAGAATATGCTCTCCAATGATCTTTATCTTCTTCTTCTTCTTCCGACTCCTTTGTTTGAGGATTCAAAAAATTCCCACTCCGGGATGTAGGTTTTGTCTTTTTCTTCTTCTTATAATCTCGAACCAAGGGCTCATCTGGGTCCTTCCCTTGGTAGTTTATACCGAGGCGGCTCTTACCTTGGTGGTTCACATCTTACCGTCCCTTGTTTGCTTGCCACCGACCCTGATGACCCGTATGTTCCCTGGGCTGATCTTTGGAACAAGAACAAGAGGATTCTTTTCTCGAATCTTGTATAGCTTTCAAAAGTAGTCCTCTTAGCTCATTAATATGTTGTGTCACAAACTCTAGTAAAATGCATTATGTTTGTTTGATCCTCCTTTTGCTAGAAGGATCCTCTTGCTAAGTATGAGTATGAACTCTACACTCATCAGACATTTTAGAATGTTGAATCCATTTAGGATGTAGGCTCCCGTTCATAATACCTGGTAAAGAACCTATATATAAGAGGAAGATATAAAAGAAAGTGATGGAAGGATCTCTAATTCCCGGTAATATGAAAGAGATAGAGAGAGAGAATGTGTGAAACCATTTTGGAGATCCTCTTTTTTGGGAGAAAAGGAAAAAAATCTCCCTAAGATCCTCTCTTTTACATGAGAAAAAAAATATAAAATTATATTTCTACGGTATAACACCTGTTCGGTGTGTCTTGGTGAAAAGATTGAGATGCGGGTGTTGGGATGTCAGGCGATGCCATAAATGAGGATTGAGACAAAGCCTTGTGTGAAATGATGGTCTTCCCCAGTGGTTTAGGTTGATTCGACCATACTAGAATGTGGGTTCAATTCGACCACTTTTGCAGGTAGGCTCAATTTGACCATATCAGTAGGTGAATTCTGTTCAAGAATGGTTGGATCTTCGGATTTAAGCCTATGGGGCCCATAAGGCTCTTCATGAGGCAACCCTAAAAAAGCCCTATTGGGTTATATGATTGTTTTTGGCTATACAATCACAAAAAATATAATTGAAAGAATATAATTGAAATTTTGTTTCAAACTAAATATATTGTTATTATGGAATAATGTGCCATAATACGTCATTGTCATGTGAATGTTTGAAAAAAAATAAAATCAGAACTCCTTTCTTGTAAGCAACAATGTCCCCTATTGCTTTCATAGCTCAATCACCATTGAGTCATAATTATGTGAATGTTTGAACGATAATAAAATTTCAAATTTCTCTCTTCTATGCACCTCTATCTCGAACATTTTCATCGCTCGAGTGATGCAATGGAGCTAATAGCAATTAGCCTCACCGTCAAGGTGAAATTGGGCTTTATATAACTCATAACACTATTATTTGGATATATGTATTCACTGAAAATTTATTTCAGTTTAAAATATTATACTTATTGAGCTATTTGTCATAATATTTTATAGTTATGTAAATGAACTAAATAAAAATTCTCAAACTTTGAAGCACCCATGTCTCTAAAGATTTCATAGCTCAATCCCTAAGATTCATAATACTTATAGTTATGTGAATGTTTGGAAAAAAAAAATTGGATTGCCTCTTCTCAAATGATCTCATAGCTCAGGTGTTTGATGTGCTATAAAACATTATCTTAATTCCTTTATTAAAAATTCTATTCCAAATTACTATTAATTTATTTTCTTACACACACACAAACACAATTTAATATGCTCGTGACCTACAATTCTTCAATATCATCACCTATCAAATTCTACATAAGATTGTAAATGATTAAAAATAATAATGGATATACCATTGCATCTAACATTGCAGTCTAAGAGCGAAAATTTAAAATTGGTAAATTTTCCTTGATTAATAGGTTCGGATTCAATGAATTTTATTCCAAGTTGATGTTTATGGAGATGGCTAAAAGTAATAAGCTAGTTCATAACTATATAAATTGTGACAATAATTATTAGAATATAAACCTGGAGAATGCATTCATAAAGTCCATTAAAAGGGAACATAAACTAATCTCCAAACATTAAAGCCAAACTAGGTTTGAATTAGGTTCGAATAAAATATGAAAAAGGCTGAAGATCGTTTCAATTTGATTTGAACCTTGGTTTCTAAATTATTTCAAATCTAATTTTGCATCAAATGATCTAACCTTCAGCCCAAAATAAAACTTCAAATGCATTCTCCAAGTTTATTTAGAAGACCCATTCTTGTTATCCACTTCCTTGTGAAGCCTCATGCTAGTAAAATTATTGGTTTCACTAGTTCTTATTTGCTCCTCAATTCATTTGTTTCTTGTGCATTGATCAACAGATAGGAATCACACTTTCATGATTGTCACTCAAATTTTACGAAATAAGAGAGCCATGATAAAACTATTCCCTTAAATTTATTGTCAGCCAAACATCAATCAAATAAAAAATTAACGAAAATCAGATATCTTCCAAAGAACAATAAATTTTATTGCAAATCTATCCACATTCCCAAAGCTTATTATAACATGTTTCACATTTACATCTACAGGGAAAAATATTACGGGTGTTTGCTTCGTGGAGACGGGTTGAAGATAACTAACCGACAAACTGCCACAAAAGATAGAACAGGAGCTAGACAAAACCTTCCTATGCGGGAATCGGGGAAGAAAACGATAGGGTTAGGGTTTATCGGGGAACTTCCTTTTAAAATACTCCACGACGAAATCTCGGCGAGCTTTGGCGCGGGCTTGCTGCGGAGCGATGTTGAGAAGGGAGAGGTGAGCGCCGATAGCCATCATGACAACGCCGGCGACGAAGAAAAAGCCAGTAGTAATCGCCTGCTTCGGCGTCGCCGGGTGGTTCCATACCATCCTTCAAAAAAATTCGGGTGCAGAGGTTGCGGTACAATCTACAACAAAAGCCGCGAGTTCAAGTTTGTTCGTAAATTAGGGACATTTACAAACATATCACCCAACTCCTACCTATTTATTGCTATTAGATAGAGTGCAATTCACAATTATTTTTTGAACTTTTGTAAGGTACTATTTAGGATCAGAGTAGCACAAATCTGTGCACTTTCTTGTGACAAAAGTTGCCAAAAAGATTTGTTATTTGTGAATAGCTCGGTTCGGCTTCTTGAGTAGCTCGTGTTTGAATTTTACAAACAAATTTGTTAAGCTAAGATCATAAATGAGCTTAACACAAACACCCATTTGTTTGGTCATGTCCAACTCGTTTGAGTTCATATAGTTCTATTTTTTTTATTGTATAAGAATGATGCAGGTTTGAATAAAACACTTTATATCTATTTTTCTAATTAATTTAAACGAGTCAATTTCGAACAAAACACAAGTCTAACACGGACAAGAATATGCAAATCGAGCCAACAGGTCATGAGCATTTCAAACATGTCAATTTCAATCATAATTAATTTCAAATGAACCAAACATTAGTCAAATCTAAGCTCACTCAAGCTCAGCTCGTTTCCCTACCTATGAGTAGTGCTTTAGAATGTAATATCAATTTATAAGTGTGAATCGTATATATTACCCTTTGGGCTCATATTTCCGGTAAAAAAACTTTTACAAATCTAAATGCAAAATAAATAATGAAAGCTTTTATTAGAATGTTTTCGTGGGAGTCCTATTTGAACTTGTGGCAAAGTAGTTATAGTAGGAGCCTTTATGTCAAGGCTCTTCCACTTATCTAGTTTAATTGTATAGGCATGTGTGACTTAATAGCCTTCTATGATCAACTCTTTTATTTATTTCTAAATAAATTAACATTTAAAATTTTTTATCAATGGAAATTAAGAAAAGATTAATTAAAGATAAAGTTGTCACAACATTGCTTGCATATTAAAATCCATGTAGGAAATGGGTGAATAATCAATTGATAAAGCAAATTTACATTATTATCATGAGAATAACAGAGGATATTATTTGAGTAGCGAGCATGTTGAGGAATCGTTTGTCCACCTGCTAATGAGTTCAACTAATTCATATTAACATGCCTCGCGTGTTAAGCTCAAATTCACGAAATTTCAATCAATTACGAGTGGTATCACAAAAAAGTGACATTATTATACAAGTATTATAAAATGTATCATTCCAATTCAATAGAGACAAGCAATATTATCTTAAATTAATGTGTATGCTACTTGGGTGTTAGTATATTAATCAACACTATATCACTTCAAGTATTATTTAATCTAAAGTTTTAGAATTTGATAAACAAATGGTTAATGAAAACATCCTAACCTTAAGATTGATAATGAAAAGATACAGAAGAAGAAGAGAGAGAGAGAGAGAGAGAGAGAGAGAGAGAGAGAGAGAGAGTAGATTTGAGAGTAGGCCTAGAAAAATTATTCCATCCGATCTCCACCGTCCATCACAGTTTTAGCAGGACCCACTTTCAATTTTTTTTAAAAAAAAAACTCTGAAATCCTAATAGACGGTAGAGATCGAACACCGCATGCACCTCTTCATGCCATGTCCGCACAGAATAATTTTGCCTATGCTACAATGGTTCTTGTAACGCTGGAGATTGGAGACAGAGGATGTGATTGATATGCTAAAGGGTTAAATCATGAGAGAGCTTTTAGATTTCAGAAGTGTAAATTATTGATGCAACTTTTAGCATGAGAAAATAATAATAAATAAATAAAATAATTACAATTTTTTTACGCGAGATAACATGACATGCTTATTCGAGAATGTTCCTGCCTTCATCCCCATGCAAATTATAAAGGAAAGTAGTGAAGCCAAGGAAGCGAGGAAAAGGAATGAGAAATTACTTTCCTTTACTAAGAGAAAAGAAAGGAAGATATCCACCACAAACAATTCTGACACAACACTTCCAAAAATAAATATAAAAACAATTTTATCAAACAATCAGCAAAAGAACATAACAAAAAGACAAATGAAATGGCATTAACATTAGTATAAGAGACCTGCATAATAGATGGAAGCCCATTCTATCTTCATTAAACTTCTGTAAATAATTACATTCTGACAATGCAAAGTGACAATCTTCTCCCTGGAATGACAACTTTTCTTCCTTCAATCTCATCTAATTTGAGCATTATATGAACTGAAGATATAACTATGTCAAAAATGTCATATTTAAGAAGCCAACATACATTAATTTGAGTAATACAATTTGTAAAACGTCAATTATTTTACAAGAACTTGGAGCTGGATTCCTGGAACTTTGCAGTATTTGTTGGAATCAGAAAAAATCTGAATGCCCAATATGGGCAGTTGAAGAACCGCAGAATATTCTGGCAACCTCCATTGCCACTGTTCTGTGAACTTATGTGGGCAATATAAGTTTTTCCTTCATAAATATAATATAGTTGCTGCCATAACAATACGGTTATACCAATGTCTACAGAAAGACAAGCAAAGGACAGGTACAGTAACACTAGGCCTCTCACTGATAATAATAGAACTGAGCTAGCAATGCCGGTGAGGACCTCCTTTAGCATTCTTGAAACAGCTGAAGTATCAGTTGATGCTGAGCTTTCAAGTTGAGGAGGCCAAACATGAAATACAGTATAGGAACACATCATAACAGCATAAAAGCAGCCGATAACTATGGATATGAGGAAGATGATGAAATGCCGATGATTTGCGGCGCCGACACAATTGCCTATCTGCAGAAAAATGAGCATAATTTAAAGGAATCATAGAAAGTAGTGATTTTGCTAGTTTTCATTAAAAAGGTAAGAAGGCTGACCACTCAAAACTCTTTCCTTCTAAATCTTATATATTCAATCAGCACTGATATTAGACAATGAGCAGAAGTTCTATAGCTACCATTTTAGATGTTTGGGAACATTTACATACAAAAAACAGTTTTTATGTAATTGCATCTCTAACAACATATCGTTCATATCTTGAATATCACATAAAAAATGCCCACATTACCCCCTTTTAAAAATAAAATTCACCTTTTCATGGATAGTTTTATGACAGCAAAGCGTTATAAATGTGAATATAAAACTTACATGTTTGATATGTAAATACAAAGAAATTGTGTGGTATATAGCAAATTTGTAGAGTATAGAAGGTATTTAGCAAATTTGTGGATCGCTAAACTGCATTGAGTATTTGTAATCACAGATGCCTATAAATCATGTCATAATGTTCACGATGATAAAACATCATCATAAATTAGCCGAATCTGGCAAGATTAATGTTTCAATTAACAAATTTTCTATCTTAATACCTTTGCTTAAAATGAGCAGCATACGTAAGTCACATTAATTTTACTGTACTACTCGATGGAAAGTAAGAAAATAATTCTTTTTTGAAAAGATCTTGACAGCATAACGGGGAGAGAAGAGCAACAAATAAAAGAAATAAAGACTGGCATGAGCATTCTTAGAACCATAGATCGAGAGCATTAGTAAACAAAGTTAACAATTTATATTCAGCAAGAAATGCGCTAATAAGGCAAAAGGAAGTGGGCCAGATGATATTCCTCACAACTCAATAATGGACATGTCTCAGAAAAAGGAAAGAGTGCTAAGAACATCTACCAACAAAATGCCCACAAATCAGTGAAAGATGTACACAGCTGAGAATCCAAAAGATATCACTTTTACTAACAAATCCTCAATGTTTATTACTAATATAAATAATTGAGAGTATTGAAGAAGAGGATTTATTCCACATTGAAAAAATGAAGTATATATGTCCAAAATTTACAAATTCACATGAAATTGTAAGTTTCAGGGTTACTATCCAACATGAAATTTACAAATTTATAGGTTTGACACTAGAATTCACATCAAATTGTAAGTTTTAGGGTTATTCTCCAACAATATAATCATAAACTCCATCCGAAGAATCCTAACGGACAAAATTGAATTTGAAGATGGTTAGCACATTGATATAAATCAGAAGTTTAAACAGTAAAAGCTCATAAAATACTGTTGGACTCTTACGAAGGGGCAATGATGATCCATGTCCAATATACACATTCGACAAGATCTACAATGATGTGCTCTCGGAGGCTTGGGTTTCTCGCAATATGTGCAGAATGTGAAGTTTTCAAGGCCATTCTTTCCCACTACTGGATAACTACCCCATGTTACAGATACTGGTGCACCGGCAGACTTGAATGCAGCCAAACAGAAGCTAGAGATAGTAATCAAAGATAAAATAGCTGTTATAGAAGAATGGAAAATTCCACAGAAATAGCTGATAGAGAAGACAGTTGGGTATACAGCCCAAACACCTGCACCTGCCATTACAAAATGGCAAGATTAGAAAATAAAACGAGGGGCATTTACATACATGCCACCCAATTCCTATGTATGTACATGTACATATCTAACATCTAAACTTACTTTATTGTTTAGATTTATATTACTTGAATCTTTCATATCACATAAAAAATACCATCTTAATTTTCAAAAAATAAAATATATTTTTCATGCACACGTAAAGTGATATGTATGTAAACATTAAAGTTTAGGAATTGAGCAGTATGTATACAAAACTTCCTTATAACAAATGGCGCGTGAAACAATGAAGCGTTAAAACACATTTGCTGTCACAGACGAACAGGATGGTTGTAATATGTTTTCAAACTTACATATGACAAAGGACATGAAGAGAAGAAGAATGGCGACAAAAAAGCGGTCTCGAGTACGTCTCCATCGGGAAAAGCATGCGCTGTCGGGTTTCCTTATTCTGATTTGGGTAGATATGGCTCCACACCATCCACATTTGAAAACAGGTGAATCAGTTGCAAGGAGGAGGCGCAATCCGCATCCCCAGCATATTCTCTCATGGTCTTCTATGATGGACGTAATGTGGTGATCATCCTGCATTTTTTACCAAATTTGTGATGTAAATAAAATGAAATTAGTGATGAAATAATCCACAAGAATAGCCTAATTTGAAATACAATACTGTTTGGGCAATAGGATATTTATATATAAGAAATAAAAAAGATAAGAAGATGAAACGATACAATCATTGATTTTGATCAATGGAATAAGAAATCACACAACTTAAAGCGCATAATAGCATCCATCTATTTCACGAGATTTGTCCTCCCAATCATTCAATGACGACCCAAAGTTTGCTTATGAAAAATATTCTTGAAAATTTCAAGTAATATGATGCAATTAATAGATTAAATGTTCAATAATTTTAGAAATGAAGTATAAATCCAGTATAAAGCAATGTCTTCAAGTAAAAGATAAAATAAAAATGATAATTCAAAAAGGCTATTAAGCTTTGCTATTGTGCATAAAAATAACTCAAAAAAAAAATCAACTAAATAAAATTAAAAGTTAATTAACTTTGAGGAATTTCTAGTGTCCTTTGGCAAACAAACAAAAAAAAAAAACTTTTTTTTTAAAAGAAAGAAACCTACTCTAAATTTTATAAATAGACGCAAGGCAACATGGGACAAAAATGTGATACAGGCGTCAAATAGAAAAGCACATTCGATATTTTTTTTCAAGAAATGAGAATAGTGTATGGAGTAAGGATCAAACCGATGACCTTTGGGTTGGAAGTAAGGTATAAATTAAGAGTATAAACCACTAGTGTATGGAGTAAGGATCTAACCGATGACCTTAGGGTTGGAAGTAAGGTATAAACCACTAGAACAAGAGTAAAAAACCGTTAAATATATAAGTAATGCTTCGCATATCAATTTCATGAAATAAAGAGTTTTCAAAGTTTTAATGAGTAGATAAAAGCTCCATAAAAATATTGCCTTCTACATTCAGTGTAATTTCTCGATGATGATTTTCAAAGCCAGCTCTAAAATTTCGATCTTATGGTCCTAGAAGTGGAAGGATCAAATTAAATCTTATTTTCTAGCTTCATAGATAGTTGAAAAGCTTCAACATAATGTAGCATAAATCACCTATCCATACTGTAGGTTTCGGGAATTGAGTAGGATAATATTATTGCTATTGAAAGGGTTATAAATATAGAATAAGATTCTAAAATAGAAAAAATATAATATCAAAACCTCTCCCTGATAACTACTTCATGATAGAAAGAAAGTCATAAACTAGAAAATAGAACAAATAGGAAATAGCCGGAAAAAAAACCAAAAAATTTCAAATACTTCCCCTCTAGTTGAATCATTGTTTTGAAATCGTCAAACAACGGACAAAAAAGATTCTTTGTGAGAATATCTGCGAGTTTGTCTGTGGACGGACAAAAGGAACATAAATTTCCCCTGAATCAAGTTTCTCCTTGATAAAGTGACAGTCAATCTCCACATGCTTGGTACTATCATATTAGAACAAATTATGGGCAATGCGATGACGATTTTATTGTCAAAAAACAAGTACAGAGGAGCCAAGACTAGTATACGTAACTCACGGAGCATGATACACAATTAGAGGTCTTCACGTACCCCTAGGGACATAGAACGAAACTTGGATTTAACACTATTAAGGGCAACCACATACTATTTTTTACTTTTTCACATGACAAAGTTTCCTCATACGAAGGAGCAAAAACTCGAGGTAGATCGTGGATCATGAACGGACCGGACTCAACCAACATCCATATAAACTACAATAGAGCAAGATGTGTGACGAGAGAACAACAAACTTGAGCCCGGTGTGTCTTTCAAGTAATGGAGGATCCGATGGACAGCGGTAAGATGATGTTCATAGGAATCATGCATGAACTGACTGACAATACTAACGGCGTGACATGTTTGGGCGCGTGTGGGCTAGGTAAATGAGTTTTCTCACTAGGCGTTGATAGTGTATCTTGTTCACCGAAATAACATTGGGAAAGTCTATCAATTTGTCATTGAGATCCATCGGAACAACTACCAATTTGCAAAGAAATTGCTTTGTCTCAGTCAGTAAATCTGTCACATATTTGTGTTGGGAAAGGCTAATGCCCCCAAGTGAATCGCGCTACTTCCACACCTAGGAAATATCAGAGAGAATCCAAGTCTTTCATCTCAAAAGATGCGGTCAGAATGCCTTTGAAACCTTCCAAGTCCGACAGATCATTACTTGTGAGTATGATATCGTCGAAATACATGATGGGAAGGTGATACGGTCATTGGATGAGTGGCGGAAAAACACCGTGTGATCATATTGGGCCTAAGAGAAACCCTGACCCATAACAACTTGTGTATACTTGTCAAACCAGGCCAAGGGGGATTATTTCAATTCATAAATAGACTTCTGCGGTTGAAATACTTGTCCGCGAGAAGAGGTTGAGTCAAAGCAGCCCGGTAGGAGAGACATATACACCTCTATGAGATAGTCGTTAAAGAAAGCAATCTTGACACCTAGCTGGAGTAAGAGTCCATCTAGATTCACAGCAAGGGATAATAGAATCCGAATGGACAACCCAGCCATGTGATCCGTGGCACCTAAATCAATAATCCACGAGCCAGGAGAAGCAAAACAAGTGAATGCCATAGAAATGTTATCTTGAAGAACATTAGGTCGACTAGCCATAAAAAAACTAACTAGATCCAAGCAGCTTAATTAAGTATTCCATCTAACTCTTTATGGAGTCTGATGATTCGGGGATGGTCCGAGTGGGGCCGATTGAACATTTGTGGATTCTAAAGTTGTAACGAGACATTAACAACAAAAGATTTTATTAAAGATTTATTTGTCGACTGCCCATAGAGCTCCCCACATTTGTCATGGGTATGATAAGGTTTATGACAAAAATTACATGTGGAGTGTGGAGCACTATGATTGGTGTGTGATGGCATGACAAAGTGTGGAGCGTAGTTGGAGACTAAGGCTGAAAACTCAACTGAATTAGTGGAGTTGTCAAACGTAAAAAGCCTCTGATTTTCTTCGTCAGGGACCTTGATGAATGTTGCCCGAGTCGATAGAAGAGGATCACGACCAAGTATACAGCCACAAACTTCGTCGAGATCCTTATTCAACCCACCAAAAATTAGAACAGACGATCCTTTTCCAGAGTTTTTGGAAGAGGGAAAGATTCGAGGGAGAGTTCCATGTGTAGTCATAGTAGATGTCATATTCCATCCATAAGGCAACCAGTAGTACTGTGTCACTATCTTTGATCCCTGTTTGCCTCACAGATCTTATTAGAAATTTCATAGAGTTGTCCATAATTCCTTACGTTTGAGTAGGTATCTCGAACGACAGTTCAAAAAAGCACTGACAGACGGAAGAAACAAGTACGAACGACCAATCGAGGTCTCTAAGGAATTAACCAGACATGACATAATCATAGAGTTCTCCACTTCCTATGTTGCATATGTTGGGTCAGTTTTTAGAGGTTCGCGAATAATACATGTGAGGTGGTTGAATTTACCCCAACCATTGAAGAACAACGAAACAGCTTGAAACCGTTGGAGGAAATTTGAGTCGTCGAGTTTGTGAGTGGTAATTAAGAAATTCATGGGTTGTCATGTCCTCCGATATGCGGAGGGATTGAGGTAGGTGTTGATGCTCTAGTGGACTTAAGGGCAACGTCAAATGAAAGCTAAGTAGTGGAGGAATCCGCCATGACTCCAACAGAGCCAAAGGTGAGGTTGGGGTGGCAGAACATAGACTTAGACGGTCCCATATGTAGCTAACAGCAACATAGGGCCTGCAGGTAAAGATTCCAGCCGGCATGAGGCAGGTCCGGTGGCAAGATGACCTACAGGGGAGAGATTTGGCTGCATAAGGGAGTTCTGGCGGTCCTGGAAGGAGATCTGGGTGGCAGGAGGGAGGTTCTACAGCGGGACAGCGGGACAGTGATAATGACTTTATATATGCTTAAAAATATAAGTATTTAATACTGCTGCTAAAAGAATTAATTCCTCAGCAATGACACCAAAAACTTAATAACAGTTATAGATTCGATAAAGATGTATGTATAAAATATTCAATAATTGTAAAGTCACACTTATCAACGCAAGTATACGTATCGCTCAAGTAATATAGGGTTCTAATGGAGTCCAAGATATCGATCTCACAGGGAGTAATATTAGAACTACGAACTAAGATATTAGAAAAACAATAATTAATCGCAACAATAGAATTCAAATTGCTTATCTGTCACTAATAGACAATTGAAATAAATATGTAATTTTAATAACTATTAAATAACTAATTATACTAATGAAGGTTTTAATGTGATATTCAATATATAAGAAAAAATAATTCTCCTTGTCAAGAAATTATAGTGAATGAATTAAGTGAATCAGTTATAGTTGTATTGTGTCAAATAGAAGCATACATATTCTTTACCCTTTGGTCCAGACATAAAGAACATTGACTAATCATACGCTTGTTTACGCACTGAATCTGCGGCTAGGCTGGGAGGATATCTGCTCTCACTTTGGAGCTCCCACGTTCCCCTCACCTGAAGACTAACATCTACGCTTCAACACCCAAACGATAGGACCGAATTGGGGATTTTAGTCTGTCACTCTAAAATCTCCAATTCTACGTCCGATAATATTATCTCCCTATTCATTTGCACCAAACTTCCAAGGGCTTTGACATCCCTGAATTTTGGATGTAATCCTCACTTTAGTTGTAAAACTCAACATATTTTAACAATTTCTTAAACATTTTCATGGTTTCACCAATTCAAATCACCATTTCATAAATCTCAAGACAAAGAGAAAGACAGAGAAAACTACTCATATCTCATGAGGAAAACACAACAAAACTCGGAATTCATATATAAAATCAAAGTCATACAAACTACAACAAGTAAATAACTTATCATTAGTTTCTCCCCAAGAACACTCCTCGAAGTTCCTCTGAATCTCTTACTTTCTTTACAGCACACAGAATTCCTCTTCGAAGCGGCAATGAGGAAGAAATCTCTCACTTTCCTTCCACTT